CAAACTTCTTGCAATTCACTGTTTGGTTTTATTGTACAGTTTTTAAATATAATATGAAATCATCAGTTTACTAAATGATAGAAAAGGGTTCCTTAAGGAGAAAGCTTGGGAACTACTGCTCTGTTTAATATATATTCTGACCAGGTGCCGCATATCACGTGATCATTGTGTCTGAATAAAGCCATTACAGAAAACTCACATTATATCTGAGTGACAAGCAGCCGTTACTGTAATAGATAGATGAAGCTGGCAGTGTTATATATTCCTGAAAAGGGCTGCTTTCTTTTTTTTGAACCGTTTTGTCTGTTTCTGTCTCTTTCTTCCCTGTCCTCCTCCACCCATTGCCGCCGTAACCAGTGTCCGTCATTCTTTCTGTAATGTATTACCAGCTCTTAGTGCCGAACCCCAAGCTGGTTCATTTGAAATGGAAGAAGGTGGCAGATGGAGGTTTTCCAGCCTGAGGTTCCCCGCTGGGTCTGTCTGTGTCTGCCTGTGTCTGTGGTAATGTCCGAGGTCGTATCCAGTAACAGTAGTGACAGCTGCACCTGTAATCTGCTCACAACCTGGACTAACTTTAATGGGCTTCTGTTTCTTTGTTCCTGTTGGTTGGCTCGGTTGCAGGATAGTGCCGGTTGTAAAGTGATATTAGAGTGTTATAGATGCTTTGGATGGTTTCCAGAAGGAATATGAACTTTTGCCCTAAACAAAGTCTTTAGTCCTGCTAACTTGTCCTGAATCTCTGATGTACATATGAAGACACTAACACAGAGTTGGGCAGAGCTGCAACAATTATTGATTTTTTTGCCAAGTATTAAATTATTGGCCAACTAAATTTTGATAATCAATTAATTAATGAATTTTTTTTAAAGAGAATCATCAGCAATATTCATAATTGAAGGTTTGGTTATTGAGTATTTGCTGTTTCAGGTTTCTTAAATTTGAAATTCATTTCATTGTAAATTTCACATTTTGGGGTTTTGGAATGTTTGTCGGACAAAGAAAAGCAATTTGAAGACATCTCCTTGGGCTCTGGGTACCTGGGATCTGAATTTTTCACAAACTTATGACATCTTAGACTAAATTAAAATATGACGTATGAATATGTAAAAATTATCTCACATGAATTGATTATTAAAAGTAATTACAAATTTCACAAAGGCGCTCCAGGTGCTGTGTATCCTGGAGGGAACCTGCATCCAGATGTTTGGAGAGATGGGAAGAGGAGGGGACAGGCAGACTGCAGAGGAGGAAGGGAGGAGAGAGATGGGGG